ACATTAGATTGAGTGAAGTGATTCTGTCAGTGTTCTGTAGGAGCTTCAGTAATCTTACTGTAATTTCCGACATGTTTTTACATAAGGCAGGATGACCCATTTATTGGTTCCTGCATTCGACTTCGCTTCTGTTGATGGTTTCAGATGATAATTTTTGATGAGGTTGAGTGGATAACCATTCTTTTGGAATATTTACTTTTTAAAATACGCCTGCTACCCCCAATGGAGCATAGGCCGCCGACCACCAGTTTTCTCCAACCAACTCTGTCCTGGGATTCCCTTACCAGTTCTGTCCAATGTTTGTTCATTCTTCTCATATCTTTCTCTATTTCTCGGAGTAATGTGTTTCTTGGCCTTTCTCTTTTCCTTTCACCGTGAGGGTTCCATGTGATGGATTGTCTTTTGACGCAGTTAGGTGCTTTTCGTAATGTGTGTCCTATCCACTTCCACCGCTTCTTCCTGATTTCCTCCTCCACTGGAATCTGGTTTGTTCTCTTCCACAGTATGTTGTTGCTGATAGTGTCTGGCCAACGCTTTTGGAATCTGGTCATCAGATATTGTTCTTCGTTTTTTAGTGCTTCATATGTTCTACAGCGTGTTTTCGCTCTCTTGAAGAAAGTTTGTAATCAGCTGATTTGATGAGTTCTTGGGTGGTTGCTATTGTAGTCGTAAATTAAATCTGTATGAGTTGGCTCCTGGTATACTTGAGTCCTCAATTTTCCTGTATCAGTTCTGGTGATTATTAGTACATCCATAAAGGATAGTCTGTTATTTATCTCACCTTCCATTGTGCAGTTTATGTCATCAAGAATGTTTTTCATCGGACTGTAGATGTTCTACAGTTCATTTCTATTAATGATAACAAATGTGTCGTCTATATAACCAACTGACACTCTGAACTTGATCACTGGTAAGATCGATGCGTCTAGTCTCTGCATCATGGCTTCTGCGATAAGCTCTGATTTTGTTGTTGAATTGGAAATACGTTGTTAAGCACAAATCGATGAGTTCTACTAGAATTCGACTTTAAAGTCTCTCATACATTGGGAGTTTTATGTCGTTGGTGAGTAGCAGTAAAAAAGTCTCTTCTAATAAGCTTGGTTCCATTGACGTACATAACAATATTGCTTCGAAGGATACATAAGTTGTATGTTTAGATTCCAGGGATCTTCCTAGGACCTTTAGAGTTCAGCCCTGTCGAATGTAGGGTAGTTTTTCAGCAAAGACACTGGATGATTGTTGCGCTTCATCGCGCACTGAATGAAGTTAGATATTAACGCCGTTTGGTCCCAACTTATTGGTCAAAAGGTTAAACATTCCAGAGCGAGAATGAAAGTTTTGGGTTGGATTCCCACTTCCACGGTTGTGGATGCGCATTGCCTCTAAGTAGTTCGAAACCAGGACAAAATAAACATCCAGTGTTTCCAAATTCCCCAATGGTTGTCTGACATTTATCGATTCATATTTTAAAAATATTATATGTAGTTCATTAAATGTCTTATTTTTCCAGTCAGAATTGATTGCTTGACAATGTAACACTTGTACGTATTTTTCAACTAGAGTTATGGAGATTAGTGTATTTTGCACATTTGAAATCATCAGTCAGTCGTTGTTAGACCACCATTAGGAAACTGGAAGCACTAAAAGACGACCGTTTCGTTCAGGCACGGGACTCACCAACAATGTGCATCCACGACTCCTGCGACTCGAAGGATTCGAACACAGGACCTTCGGTCTTACGTGTGAACGCCTAACTTCTGGACCACTTGGCCAGCATCCAACAGTCTTAATATCTAACTCTGATCAATCTACAGATTTTGCACGACCTCATCCATTTGTCTTTGGTAGTTACTACCAGTTCACCAGTGACTAGCTTCGTGAGGAAATTCTCAAAGTTCTAGTAAGAAGACGTGATCAGTGGAGTTCAACCCTGTAGGATATAGGTAGTAACTACCAAAGACAAAATGGGTAAGGTCGCGCCAAATCTGTAGGTTGATCAGAATTAGACGTTAACACCGTTAAATGACGTCCCAGTGGTTCATAGGTTAAGCGTTCACGCGCAAGACTAAAGGTCCTGGGCTCGGATCCTGGATTCGTACACTTGTACATATATGTATGTTGTAATTTTTCATAATTCTCGAAAAAAAACACCTAATACATATTATAGTTTAGCAGAATTGAGCAAATGCAGTAAATTTATAGTAAGTTTGCTACTTATATCATGTAAAATAAGTAGTAGAAATATTTTTACTAAAAATTAATTTTCAATATTAGTTGGAGTAAAAAATCTAATGTAAAAAACTTGTAGAATACTTTGAAATGTAGACTGCATTTAACATAAAAATCAATTTCAACCTTTAAACATGTATTAAGCGCATTCGTATAATGATGATTTTTTTCAAAAAATATTTCTCTCTTAATTGTTTATTTACAAAACTGGAAAGGAAGATCCAGGATAGTTAGAGTAGGTCGAAGAATGCTGGTCGATGATCAATGTTCTATTAGGGCGAATAGGCGTTAGTAAGTAGGCAAGTAAGTGAGTAAGTAGGTAAGTAGGTAAGTGTTAGGATATTCATCTAATATCCTAAAAGAATTTTATTGGTCAATTCCTATTGGTTAATTCCTACTGGTCAATTTTATGATCGTCCTAGATATCAATGTCACATGCTCCAATGTTGTTTCTTATTGGTTGTCTTGACTATCAGTGTCACTTCAAATGTTGCTCCCTATTGGTCGTCTTAACTGCCAATGTCACAGACTTCCATGATGTTTCCTGTTCGACCGAAATGTATAAATACGGATTATCTGTAACGTTTTATGATCCCGACCTGGACCCGGATCCCTAGTCCGGGATCCTGATTCTCTTCTGAACTCGGAACTCGTACTTTCTGGATGCTTGTAGAATACGGGTTACACTTCATATCAAGTCTTCTTATTTTTACTCAATATGGGGTTGGTTGGGATAATCGGATTTGTGTTGCATGTCGTGTCGCCAGATTCTCGCTCTCGTTTTCCGACTAGGTAAACACTTATTAGTTCAAGCATATCAAAATGACGTGTTTACGTGCAGGCGTAACAGTAAGTAAGTAAGTAAGTGAGTGAGTAAGCAAGGAAGTAAGAGACATGACAAAAAGACATTTAGAATACTTCTTTCCTCTATAGATATATACCATCACTGTTATGATTTTCTTTCCATACTTACTGTACGGGAAAAAAATATTGTCTCTGTTATTCTTACTACAATAACTTAAAACTCCATCCCTATACTTTTACTCTCACTGTAATATTGAAAAAGGTAAGTAAGTCATAACTGGAAATAATTCCACAAGATAAAATCACACACACACACACAAAATAAATCATCCGATAACAAACAAGAAAATAATTTTTTTAAAAAAATGCGCGCTTAACATTCAGTGTCGAATGTGGGGATTTTTTCTTTTTCAAAAAAAATCCTTTTGTGGCTTTCATAAATCAATACGGATATGAGACAGTAGTAGTGTGGTGCGCGCTACTTATAAGTAGTATATGACGTGAGTGTAAACGTAATGTCCGGCAACAGAAGATGGGGGAAGGTCAAGAAAGTAAGAAGAGTGGGAACACAATGGAATTTGTATGAAACGCATGAATAGTGAGTGAAATGTCAGACAATGGATTGATGATTGATGATTGAAGATTTGCAAATGAACGGTGGTTACGATATGATTTTCCTATTTTACTGAGTAACTCTGTAAATTTTCGTTAAATACAATTCGGTTGCCCTCAACCGGTGTTCTCCTTCACTACAGTAGTACCAGCATCTTCTTTATTTTTATAGCAAAATCGATGTTGGGAAAAATCACATGATATATAATTATCACAAAAAAAGATTAGAGAAATTGATTTTTTCGAATTTTGAAGTTGTAGACAGAGAGAGTGAGAAAGAGAGAGTTGGACAACTTTGTTTAGAAGTGAAATTCTGTATACATATTAACCTGTAGAATCCTAACGGGTAGGAAGAAACTAATGTTTACTACTGTAAACAAAAAATATTCGGTTAGTCACTTGTTTTTAATTAGAATAAACAACCAATTTTACAACCGGATAGATTTTCCTAAAAAATAAAAAGACCATGTTGGGTGGGTGTGAAGCAAAAAAAAAGCAGATAAAGCCGGTCAATATTGTGGAATTGAATAAAATTTTGATATTCGCATTACGGGGTTGTTGTGAAGATTGTTAAATTACACATTTTCGAAACCATGAATCGAGGAGGAGTCCTATACCAGGACGAAACGGCCGTCTTTCAGAGCTTCCAGGTTTCTGTTAATGGTGGTCTAACATTGATCGATTCATGATTTAAAACGTGTGACTTAACAATCTTCACAACCCGGTATGCAATTATCTATGCTCATTAGTGAATTGCTCCGTGAGGAATCTTCTCCGAGTTCCTCTAGTGGGAAGACATGACCAGTGAAGTTCAACTTGTTCAAGTGTAACTGCAGTAACTACCGAAGACTGTGTATGAAGTTGCACAACTCCGTGAACTGATCAAGTTAGACACTAACACCGTTAGATACCGGCTTAGTGGTCCGATGGTTAGGCGTTCGCCTACAATACCGAAAGTCCCATGTTCGAATCCTGCGGGGCGCAGGAGTTGTGGATGTGCACTGCCACTGAGGAGTCACATACCAGGACGAAACGGTCGTCCAGTGCTTCCAGGTTTCTAATGGTGGTCTAACATTTATCTATTCATGGCCTCAAAAAATAAAATAAAATTAGATAGTAACGCTGTAGGATATCAACTCACCAATGGTCTAGAAGTTAACATTGCGGGTTCCACAAGACCGAAGGTCCTGGGTTCGATTCCCGGCGTGGTTACGCACTGCTGACAAGTCCCACACTATGGGCGAAACGACCATCCACCGGTCTAGCTAGCATTGATCGATTCATGATTCCAATTAAAATCAGATGATGGTGTGAAATCAAAATAAAATCTCACAAATACAAAACACATTACCTACCTCGATCTTTCACATCCTTCACATGATCTACGGGGATTTCTTCTGGATAAACAATTAAATCCACAAGTTTACTATAATACGTAACACCATCATGATACGATGTAGCTAAACATTGAATACGTGCACTTGGTTGTGGTAGATTTGGTGATGGTTTGACATTTTCAATGCTGAACACACCAGTATTACCATCATTGGTTAGATAAGATTGAATGGATTGTCGTGTTAAACTGGATTCTGGTATAGTTTCACCATATGTGCCAAGTAATCGCCAACCGAAATGAAGATTTCCATCGGTTAAATCTTTGCCAGTTACTGTATCTGTTGTTTTTGGTAAAAATTATAAGTTAAGTATGATATAACTATACATGAAGAATATATAATGTCATGTTGTTGAGAAAATGTAATGCGCAAAACCATTTTCAAGGTGGACATTGAATATTGAACGAATTGAATATGAAATTAGCCATTATTGATTTGTTTGAAAAAGTATTTATTGATTTTATGCTAGGAAATATTTAAATAGGAATATTCCTGTCGACAATTATAGGATTTTCTAGTCATTTGGATTGATTATAGGTGATCATAGGTGAGAGTGGATCAAGGAACAGATCATAAGGGGGTGGATACAATCAAAACAAAGGTGCAAACAACGACAGGTTTAAAGTCAACAACAACCAATCAGGATTGAGGTCAGGAGAACAAGCTATTGGTCAAACGTGGAGAAATGCCAATACTTCACTTCGTCTATCTGAAGTTTGTGCTAACGATGATGTTGTTCAGAAGAAGAACAATGAAAGTTCCACAACCAAAACATCCAGCCAGTTCAGAGAATCAAACACCACCACAATTGATTATGAATGTTTTGTGATGGAATTTTGTTCTCTGAGTTGGGGATGTTTTGGTTGTGGAGCTTTG